GGGGGGGGGGGGGGGGTGATGAGGCCTCTCCTGGTGGCGGAGGGGCCCAGCGAGGGGACACCCCGATGGGGCGGGGGGGGCTGTGGGGGTGACCCCCCCTCGGGACCCTCCCCCCGGCCCTGCCGCGGCCCTCCCGGGGCGGGGGGGGGCGGCCGAGGGCACAGCAAGGATACAGCTTGACCACGTCGGTGTCCATCCGCCTCTTGCCCGGGCTGGGGGACGACATGGTGGCCGCGGCCGCCCCCGGCGCTCCGGGCGGGCTGTCAGCGCCGCCGCGGGCCGGGGCCGCCCGGCCGCGAGGGGGAAGGCGGGCGGCGCTGCGCTGTGGGCGCGGTGGGCGCTGTCGCCGCTGTCGCCGGTGGTGTCGCCGCTGTCGCCGCTGTCGCCGCCGTGCCCGCCAGGGCCCCCCCCGCCGCTCGCGCTCCCTCAGCCGCCCCGGCCGCCTCTGCCACAGCCTCTCGCTGGGCCCCTGACGTCACCCCTGCCGCGGTGACGTCACCGCCCCGCCGCGCGCCCGTTGGGCCGCCTCGCAACGCTCGGGCCGCGCCGCGCGGGGCATGACGGGAACTGTAGTTCTGTGGAGGGGGCTGTAGTGCTGTAGTTCCACGGGCTGTAGTTCCATGGGCTGTAGTTCTGTAGTTCCACGGGCTGTAGTTCCATGGGCTGTAGTTCCACGGGCTGTAGTTCCATGGGCTGTAGATCCATGGGCTGTAGTTCCATGGGCTGTAGTTCTGTAGTTCTATGGGCTGTAGTTCCACGGGCTGTAGTTCCATGAGCTGTAGTTCTATAGTTCTATGGACTGTAGTTCCACGGGCTGTAGTTCTATAGTTCTATGGACTGTAGTTCCATGGGCTGTAGTTCCATGGGCTGTAGTTCTATAGTTCTATGGACTGTAGTTCCATGGGCTGCAGTTCCGTGGGCTGTAGATCCATGGGCTGTAGTTCATGGGCTGTAGTTCCATGGGCTGTAGATCCATGGGCTGTAGTTCCATGGGCTGTAGTTCCATGGGCTGTAGTTCCATGGGCTGTAGTTCCATGGGCTGTAGTTCCATGGGCTGTAGATCCATGGGCTGTAGTTCCATGAGCTGTAGTTCTATAGTTCTATGGCAGGGTCTGTAGTTCTTGGTGGGGGGGTTAAATGATGGCAGGGCTGCGGGGTTGCGGTGCTTCCCTTTCCAAGCGTTTCCCGCAGTTCCCCGTGGGAATGGTCCCCCCATTCCCGTTCCCCCTGGATTCTGATGCCCACCTTGCTCACCCTGTGCCCACTCTCTCCATCCTTCCAGGGTCAGGGAGGCACCCCAGCCATGTGAGGCCCAATGGTTCTCTCCTACTCCCTGTGTTTCCCCCATTCCCTATGGATTCTGATGCCCCCCTTGTTCTCCCATCCCCACCAGGGTCAGGGGAGCACCCCAGCCATGTCAGGGCCAATG